CTCTCTCTCTCTCTCTCTCCTCTCTCCTCTCCCTCTCTCTCTCTCTCTCTCTCTCTCTCTCTCTCTCTCTCTCTCTCTCTCTCTCTGTCTTTTTGCTCCTCGTCCTTTTGTTTATTAAAACGAACTCTACTACGGCCTAGCGCCTGTTTCTTTTTATTTTATGAATCTCGTCGCACTGTTTTATTAGCTTCTCATTTTTTTCAGATTCGTTTTTCTGATTTATGCTGAATTTGTTAAGTGAGAATTTCGCCTAATACAATTTAGTATAGTAGGTATTTGAAACTGCGACGAGTAAGTCATTCAATGATGTAAGAAATCGTTTAATTAAAATTTTAAATCTAATTGTTCGGATAGCAAGATATTAAAAAGTAATTTAAAAATAAAAAGTAATTTTTCTCACTAGGAAGTAAAGGTTTTTTCTTTGACAAAATGAAGTGAAAGACAAAATCTAAAATGAACTTTGAGAAAGAACCTTTTCAAACATACGCAGCGGACCAGATTTTTTTTCATTTTACAAATTTATAAGGTTTTGAGATTTGATTGGTAGAATATATAATTACACCATGAGAAGCGTGAAAAATATCAATTCTTTATGTAGATTTCATTCAAACTTGGAAAAAGCTGCTATCATGTAATATTTATTTCCTGCAAACTTGCTATAGAATTTTCACGGCATATCATTTTGAAAAAAAAGGTGCTCCACTCAATTTTAAAGAACCGAACCGCCAAAGCAGTAAAATAATACAAAAATCAAGCAGTTCATTTTCTTGTCGAAGGCTTTCCAATTATCCACACTGTAAACGAAAAAATTCATCCGTTATAATTAATTGTAACACACGGTTCTATTTCCTTCCTTTTTTCATTAAAAAGAGTGCATCTCTTATACGTTTATTTAGCTTGTAATAACCGCACGATCTTATTAAATCGATCTAGCTACTCTTTTGTTCGCTGATAGTCAAAGCGCGTAGAAGACTGATCTCTCATGCTGAGGCAACAACTGAGTTTTTGTGTGAAAAGGTGCATCTAATTGCAACCATCTGTAACTAAGAGAGTTGAGTTAAGCACTAATGCTCGAAGGAGTAACAACCTTTACCTTGAGTTACTCTACGCTCACATATGCATTTATGTTTCGTAACTTTTCTTCAACTAATACGAAACTTTTATTCTAGAAGTGAATTTATTTGCTCCTTAACGATTTCATTGGAAAAATTGTATCTATATTAAGTGACATTTGGAATCCTAGGAAACGATGACGATGTTATTTCAATTATTTCGTGTATGAATTTACTGTTTCGAATCGTAAATTTACTTCAATCTCTATTGTACCAATGCATTCGTAACATTTTCTTGGATGAGTTTTGGAATATACACAAACATTCAAAATGTGAATAATTAACGTTTTATAATGATTGATTGTTATTTGATTGATTGACAATGAAAATTGCAATTGCAGTAGATTTAATAATTACACTGCACATCAAAAACCGACGAAAACCATCAGAGAGATGATAACGACCTACCAGAAATTAGCCGCCTTCAGCTTTGATCCGAGTATATAGCAAGGTATAGAGGGGTAGTTGGTTGCGATAGCGATCGCGATAAATATCATCCAACTTTTCCCTCTCTTACTCGCGCACACGATGTCATAGCGTGACTATGTTTGGATGTGCAGAGCAGTAGCAGCAGCAGCAGCAGCAGCAGCAGCGCGCGACGTCAGCTGTAAATCACTTAATGTTGCTTCTCCACACGCACACGCCCTTCGCTTCGTCATTCAAACTATAGGCGTGTTGTTGCCGCCACCCCTTTCACTCTATACGTATAGACGCTAATGGATGAGACTTTGGAGAAAAAAAAAGGGGATTTGGTTTGTTACGTTCTGTTTTTTTCCTTACCCAGGCTGCTTGGCGATTAGTGCAAAGGTGTTCGTGTTGGCGATGATGAGTTTATAATTGGATTAGGTACAATGAAAATATAATTATTATTGCGCTGACGATAAGAGTTTCTTTTGCGTCTATACCTAGAAAAAAGTTCCGAGTCTTAAATTCTTTTAAATGAACTTCTTTAATTTTCAAGTTTTTTAGTGTTATTTTAATTGTTTTTAGTGTTTTGTTAATCACTGTGAAATTGAAAGTTCACGTCGTAAAAGATACGGAGAACGATACGAATTCTCTTAAGAACCACTAAAATTCATCGATAATTGCCGATGTTATGTAGACTTCAATGTCCGTAGCTTCATTACTCAGGCTTGTTAGTCATAAATAGGTGTTTAATTAACGACTTACTCAAGCTAAAAATACATCGAGTAAAATCGTGCTGGTAAGCGTTTCTTTTTCGTTATCATAATTTTGCTAAAAATACTAACAAGAAGTATTAAAATTAATTATTCCTTGTTTTCGTATGCTGTATTTCACGTATTTCAGTTGTTATCAAAAATATTTTCATGAAAGATTCGAAAATACTGTATATGATACCAGAGTCTTTGGTTAAACTTATCTTTTCATAAATACAAACGCTATTTTTCTTTATTAAACTAAACTATATTTTTTGAGCAGTTTTCTATAGCATTGTAAAATATAATAAGAGCATAATCGAATTTTTTTCCCTCGGTGTATGAAGCGAGCGAGAAAGTGTGAAAAACATACGCTGTCGCAATTAGTCGTTAAGGAGTAAGGGCGTTGATTACGATCTGCTAATTGTCACGTGACAGTTAATTTTTTGTGTGTGTGTTCGGGGTACATTTCCAGCCTGCTTTGCCAGATGTATGTACAACGTGTAAATATACATACGAGAGTTGAGGGGATGCATATGCCGTGAGTGTACCCGTTCATCATTGATGATAATGGCTGAATGGGAGCGATCGGGTAAACTGCGTCAATGATTCATTGTTTCGTCTCTCTTGCTCGCGCGCTCGTAACGATTTGAAAGCTTTTGTTGGCCAAATGGGATTACATTCTTTTTGGGAGCAGGCGCGTGGACGAGTCTCTGACGTTCGATGAGAAACAATGACTGCAATTTTCATTTTTTTCCATCTCCCTCCCCCGAAAGAAGGCGTTTTCGGAAAAAAGGAAAATGGGAAAAGGCGAAAAAAAAGCTTTCGAAAACATTCGCATAGTACTCGATTAATCGAGCGTGACAATCCTTTGAATTCCGCGAGCAGCGCGTACGCGAATACTCAAAGCTACAGCTGCAAGGAGAAAATAAAAAGGAAGAAGCGAACCCTACGCATACGTACGCCTAACGAGGTTGTAACGCAAATTCACGGCAGTTTGAATCCGTAAAGCCTTTCGCACAGTCAAATATGTATATAATTGGGATGCTTTTGAGTGTGTCGCATACCGCGGTGGTGTGCGTGGGAGTAGGTTAAAGAGACGCGGAAAGACGAATGGGCGTTTGATCTGCGCCGGGGTTTAAATATGCGCGCGCTCGACGCTTCGCTTTACATAACTAGGCTACGCGTGCGACGCGATTTATCGTTTTCCGCCCCTTTCGTCGCGCGAAAATTTTGCAAACTATTATACGCGCGACCCTGTTTCGCTGCCACGCTTAGACTCGCGAAGCCTATTTTTGGGTCTTGCATAGAGTTTCGAGTTTGCGCGCTGTTGCGGATTTCCACGACTAAGTGTACTTTTTCAGTACCCGGCGTAGGAAAATTATGCACAGAATTACAATAGGCAAATGTCATTTTACATATCATTATGCGTTATATTACTAACTTCAAGAAGCAAATCCAAATTATATCTTTTACAATGTGGCGTTATAAAGTACAATTCATTTTCTAATTGCCCCATGCAACACGCACATATGTTTAGCTTATCAAAGAATCCGTAGATCGTGTCTTTGTCCGTTGCGCGTAGTTTTCGAAATTGCAATAATACAATTGAAAAAAGTCAAATTTTCTTTCACAATTTTTTCTCAATAATAATAATAACGATCTTTATCTAATGTCATTCCAACTTTTAATCGTACAATGACAATCGAGCAACAAAAATGCCAACGGCATAAACACAAATATTGAATAAAACACACCTAAGCTTGAAACCATACTAGATAGAAAACAATACACATCAGCCCCGAATATCGGATTCCGCGTCGCACCGAAAAAAAAATAGTAAAAAATTCATATCCCTAACAATTTACGTTGCTCTCGCTCGCGCGACGTTGTACGTGCCGGCTATACATACTGGATGAGTTTTACCTGGAGCTATTTTCACGGTAGCTTATACTTTTCTCGAGTGAAAAAAGAAAGAAGAAGCCTCCCTCTTTATGGCTCGACGTTATCTTGTTGACGCAGTAAGTACACGACGAGTCGATGTCGGTTTGCGCAACGGCTAATGTACGTTCGGTTTTATAAGAGATGCATGCTGCGCTGCGCGATGTTACAACCAGCTGCACATCCTTTTGCGCTGCAACAAGGGCACTGAGAAAATAGCAGCGCCGGATAGATTTAGTTCGGCGAAGTCGGTTGCCATACGAGATGCTTGTAGTTTGGTAATGAAGAGCGTTAGCGCGCCAGTTATTCTTGGGGGAAGAAATCACGCCTGCGCGAATTGCCTTTGTGCATCGCCGTTCGGCACCCAATTCCAAGCGAGGCAGCGGTAATGCGTCGACTTACCCTTGAGGAATTTTAATATAAAGCTTCCAACGCACCGAAGGCGCGCCCGCGCACACGCTAACAGCGAGGAAAAAGATATATCCAGTCGCGGAGTGAGGGGGGCAGGTATAACAAACGAATAAACAAAGAGAGAGAGAAAGAGAGAGGGACTATGTATGCGCGTTTCGCGAGTTAAGCCGATTAGCAGCTAGTACTCTCTGGGCTACGTTACAAATATGTGCTGCTTAGGGGGAGGACGAGATAATCCGTCGTTTGTTCCTCTCTCTCTCTCTCTCTCGGCCATATTTCGACTGGCTCGCTGGAATAACGAATAATTGTCGGATTTTTTTTTTTGTTCGAGTTCACTCTCTTTTGCCTATACGTCTATCTATCGCTTGTATTTTTTCAGGCGTCTGCTGCCTATAGCTTGTGTGCAAAAGGGGAAAAGAAGCGAGAATATATACCTATATAGACAACGCAAAGCCGACGACACTGCATCCTGGGAACGTCAAGGTGAGTCTTATACACTTTTTTAAAGGGGAGGACTTCGTATAACTGATACGACGTGGGCTGCTTCTTTCATACCTACGTCGTAATTAAATTTTATTTCACATATTGTTTCGAAAATTTCAATACCTTTGATTGATTTTATTCATAAGTGAAGGTTACATGCAGGGTTTAATAATTATTACATATTAACGGTATTTTTATGCCGGTCAAGTATTATCTGAATTTTTGAATGATGGTTATTTAAACAATGGTGATGATCAAGATATAAATCTATACAATATCAAAATTAAGTTTTTACCAAAAAAAAACAACAACATTTTATAGTAATTACGACTTTTACGTTGAAACCAGTATAACAAACATTTAGCTTATTTTACTTCCAGTGCTAAAGTGGCAATCGTTTTGATAATGTCGATAATGTCATAAACATTTGGTCATCATTAAAATATAAACTTTTTTGAATTCTGTTGAATTGAAATTCAACCAGCAGTTAAAATTCAAATATATGAAAAGTTAATAATGATCTAAAAAGTAGATTTTTTAAATATTAAATCGTGAATTAACCATCGCTTGTGCCTTAGTTGAATGGAATTCTCTCGTCAATTGAACCTTTTTTGTAGAAGAAAGTGATTAAGAATGTTTCTTATCTTTTTAGAGAAAAAAAAAATAAAAATAAAACACAATTGCAAAAATAATTCCCATGATGTATTAAGATTCATCTTTGGTATAAAAGTCAATCAATTAACGAAAATGTTAGACGATATGGAAATTCAAACCATTAAAACAATGCTCCTCCAGTGCAAGAATCCACGTTCAGACACTGCAATGCATTGACAAATCGTCCAATGCATACAATTATCGGAGAGGACACTTTTAAAGTCGACATCTCGCGCGTGACTCATTAAATCCACGGTATACATCATTGAAATCGATTGAAAATGGGGGTCCAAGAGAGAGAGAGCGAGAGAGAGAGAGAGAGAGAGCGAGAGAGAGAGAGCGAGAGAGAGTGAGTGAGTGGAAGAAAAAGCTCTGTAGATGAGATTCAATTAAGTGTCCGTTGCATTATGCATTAGAAAGAAGAAGTAGTAGAAGAAGAAAAAAAGTGAGTGAACACATTGAATGCATTTAGGAAGGGAGCGCTGTGTTTTCTCGCGATGCTAATCGTTCGTTTTTTTCTTTTCACCGCTTCTGGAACTTCGATTTTGTGCATGTAATTCTTCTTTCTCAGTGGCTGTAAGTTGTTGCGAGAATACGTGTTGGCGTTACATAAATAACATACTACGTTGTTATCAGAAAGATGTTTGAATATATTATAAAAAAATCAATTTTTCTCAAATGTTCTTATGCTTTACCATACTTTTTTTTTTAATTACAATGCAATGTTAAATATGGACAAGAAATTTTTAAAGAAACTTTTGATTAAATGTAGAGCATAATTTTTAATTAAAAGGGAAAAGTTATTAATTCATATAATATTGGAAATTAATTCCTTCCTGGTAGATAAAAATGTTCTTGAAAATACAATATTTAGCATTTTTTTTGCGCGTGATTGGTATACCTGCAACAATTTTTTTTTTTTTCTTTTTACTCGAAAGATGTATGCTACAAGAGTAGCATACCTAGCTTTTGGTGGTTTAACGATATTCCTGTGCTGCGCCATATGCTTATTTCGCGAATTAACATACGGCCCCTCTTTCGTGCACGCATATCCTATTTGCATGCCGCGCGAACGATGAGAGCATCTAAGCGAGTGTAATTGGCTCTTCTCGTGCACGCAGATTAATCGATGGTCAATTGTGATTTTGCTAAATAACTTTTCACACGTCAAATGCTAGGATGTATTAGTATGCTAATGGCGCGAATGTCTTCCATTTCTTCTAGAATTCAAGGTTTCCCGCTGTGTCGCAGCTGCGATTAGTTTTCCACATCGAAATGCCCAGCGCAAACATTTCTTAAAGATTGTAAAGTCAATACCGAAAACAAATTAGTATTAAGGGGTTTGCATGAGTGCCGCGAGATTATTTGCATTGTCCTGGCCGCGGGGAATTCGCTTGCTTAGCTTCTACTCCGTCTGTATATAGCATATGTTTGCTCAGTACTGTCCAGGATATATATACTCGTGTTTTCCGCAAGACAAACAATATTCCATACAGGCAACCTTTTCGCAACTTTTCGTATATACATGCATTTCACATATATCAAAATTTCTCATTTTGTCCATTAAACTCTTCATGCTTGCACGAGCTTCATTAATGTTTTCTCATGATCCCTTGCACTCTCGATAGTAGTGTTTTTTCTGTCTATTTATTAGTAAAAAAATATATATTATTATATATAATACACGACAAAGTATCTTTTAATAGGTGGTTAAATGTCCGTCTTTTTCCTTCCTTTAACGTCCATGCAAATCATAAGCTTGGCGAGCGTTTGCGCCAGCGAGAGATTTATCGCGTGATAAAACACTTTGCGCGCGCGCCCTCGGTGAAAGTTCACGCGCCAGCGAAAACAAAGGGTGTGAGAGTGTGAGAGCTGATTAAGGTAGAGGAGCCAACCACTACGCTAAGAGAGAGAGAGAGAGGAGAGAGAGAGAGAGAGAGAGAGAGAGAGAGAGAGAGAGAGAGGAGAGAGAGAGAGAGAGAGAGAGAGAGAGAGAGAGAGAGAGGAGAGAGAGAGAGACCAACCGAAATCTCGACCCACGCTACGTTGTTGCTGCTTACTGAGATTAATATTTTTTTCCTCAGTAGTAATTGACTTGCTACTGTTTTGTCTTAATGGAATTTTAAGAAAAGCTTCTTTTTTTTCGTAAAAAAAAATAATGAAAGAGTTTGACACGGACCAATTTCTGCATTTTTGGACATGTATTTTAATCATATATGTCGATGAGCGACTGATTCAGGGGATATTTGATAATTGAATATTTTTTGTAGGTACGAATTTGCCGTTTGCAAATTCATAGATTTCATTTAGTGCATTTTAAAAATTTACATTTTTAAAATTACTTAAATTTTATACATCATGATGTATCATGTGTTTCTAGGTTGAGATTAACGATTTGCGGGAATATTTCAATTATATTTCTTCAATGAAATTATGTTAATTTCCATGAAGATAATGTGATTATGTTTACAAATAGGTAAATTAACGTATGATGCAAGGTATTTGATGACATCGATAATGGAATTTCGAAAAGCCAACAATCCGCCAAAGAGGAAGAATTTAATTTTACAGGATATTTAACGCATTTGTATGCACGTAACTGAACAGAAATAAAGGTGAACAATTCATCCTGAATAAACTAAAGTAGAAAAAAACTGCGATATACGAGGTGTGTTCAAAAAGTAACGAGAATTTTTAAATTTCGCGTGTTTGGAGAGTCCGCTTGTATAAAATTTTTTTTTATTATGTTGGTACACATGCCCCTGAAGTACGATAAAATTTTCAGCAATATTCATTGCTTACTTTTTAAGTGGCAGCCGCTAACGTTAGACGTGTTTTTCGAGCTCGGCGATTTTCGTTTGTTAAAAGAAATGGATCAAAGAATTTGTATTAAATTTTGCGTAAAAAATGAAATAAAGTGTAGTAAAGTTTTGTCAAATGTTAACAAAGGCATATAGTGAGTCTGCTATGAGTAAAGCAAGGATTTATAAGTGGTATAAGCGTTTCCAAGATGGCCACGAAAACGTTGAAGATGACGAACGACCCGGACGCCCAAGCACATCAACAACCGATGAAAACGTGAAAAAAGTGAAAGAAATGGTTATGAACGATCGCCGAATCACAATCAGAGAAGTCGCTGATGATGTTGGCATATCAGTTGGCTCATGTCATCAAATTTTTTCGAATGTTTTGGGTATGAAACGTGTGGCAGCAAAATTCGTTCCAAAATTGTTGAATTTCGAACAAAAACAGCGGCGAATGGAAGTTGCTCAGGAGTCGCTAAATGAAGTCAATAACGATGCAGAACTACTAAAACGTGTTATAACAGGTGACGAAACATGAGTTTACGGATATGATGTCGAAACTAAGGCTCAATCGTCCCAGTGGAGGCATTCTGGATCGCCAAGACCGAAAAAGGCTCGACAAGTGCGGTCGAATGTGAAGGTTATGCTCACTGTGTTCTTCGATTTTAATGGCATAGTGCATTATGAATTCTTGCCACAAGGTCAAACAATCAATAAGCAGTACTACCTACAAGTTCAACGTCGTTTGCGTGAAGCAATCCGAAAAAAACGCCCGGTATTGTGGCAAAACAATTCATGGCTTTTGCACCACGATAATGCGCCTGCTCACACTTCATTGCTTGTTCGTGAATTTTTGGCCAAAAACGAAACTGTAACGATGCCTCAGCCTCCATATTTGCCAGATATGGCTCCATGTGACTTTTTTCTATTTCCAAAAATAAAGAGAACATTAAAAGGCCGTCGTTTTACAAGCATAGATGACATTAAAAGCGAATCGCTGAAAGAGCTAAAAGCTATCACAAAGATCGAGTTTCAAAAGTGTTTCGAGGATTGGAAAAAGCGTTGGCATAAGTGTATTGTATCCGAAGGGGACTACTTTGAAGGCGACAACATTAATGTAGATGAATAAATAAATATTTTTTTCATAAAACGAAAATTCTCGTTATTTTTTGAACACACCTCGTATTTGACTTATCTTTGAAATTAAAACTGAAAGCTTTCGCAATATAATTAGACAGGGCGTCGGATGGGTTTTTCCTTTTATTTTTGGCGTAGAGAAGCGTCGAAGCGCGAGAAAAGTAATTAAGATCCAGCGAGGGGTCTGACGTTTCGGTGACAGTGTCTCGACGTGGAAAAATCGGCTGCTGGAGAGAGGCTTTTCCACACCCTTTGTTTCGCGCCTTGAAAAAGGCGATGTAATGACTTTTCTCGTGCGAGCTCTTTCTTCGCCTGTTTTATTAGCCGAAGCACAAAAGCCACGTCGATTATCATGCGACTGGAATGCAATAAAATAATTTTCTGAATTCCGCCGAGCGAGTCGAG